TATCTATCTATCTATCTATCTATCTATCTATCTATCTATCTATCTATTTTTAAGTCATAAAGTAAAACAAGCATTTCCATAACAGTATAATAAAAAAGATGATTACACATGAAACTGCAAATCTATTATATACAACTTGCTATTTCTTTTAAATATATAATACAGTTATCCCTTCTCCATTGTGACTTTCCTCATCATGGTTTCGATATATCATGGGTCAGCATAATAAATTAGATGGGAATTTTTTGGGAATTTTGCAGAAGCCTCAGATGACACATGAAGGCCAGAAGACTTCACAGAATAAGTTTAGAAACTCAGAAATGTATAAAATTTATGTATAGCATTGCATAATATCTATATATTTTGTCTTTTAATACCATAATAATTCAGACTTTTTCTCTGGTGTGAAGGGAGAGCCAAAAAATTTTAGTATATTTCCCAGATCATGAGGGCACCTCATTCCTAACCCCCTCAGTGTGGAAAGAATAACTGTAAAGTTATCATGTAAATTTCCCTTTTTTTTCTTCCCCTTTCCCCATCCTAGAGATGGTTATCATTAGACACAAATAGGCACATATACATAAAATTATTCTATACATACTTCTATTTATCAGTTCTTTCTCTGGATGCAGATGGCATCTTTGTATGTTCTTATTAGTTAATTTAAAATGACTTATTCACTCAAGTCATTCTTAAAACAATATTGCTGTTACTGTATACAATGTTCTCTTTGTTCTGCTCATTTTGCTCTTTGTTATTTCGTGCCAAGTCTTTCCATGTTTTCCCAAGATCATTGAGTTCATCATTTCTTATAGCTGCCTCATATATTTGGATATAATACGATATCCTATGACAAGCTCTATGAGTCTAGGCATTCTGTCTCATCTGCACTTTGTGGCTCACTCAGAATCTAATACAGTGCTCTGCAAATAGTGCTTTATAAATGTTTACTGGATTGAATCAAACAGGATTCTAGCAGGACTAGGGCAGCTGGGTGGCACAGTGGATAGACTTCTGGGCCTGGGGCCAGGAAGAATTGAGTTCAAATCCAACCTTAAACACTTACTGGCTGTGTGCCAAGGATGGGACTTGAGCTAATAATAATTGCTGGCATAGAGTTTTATGATTTGCACATGTTTTACATGTGTTATCTCTTGATCCTCACAGCAACTCTGGCAGGTATTGCCATTGTTATCCCAATTTTACTCACAACAATGGAGTTTATTATAACAATAGCAGCAGGTGCTATTCTCCTAATTTTGCAGTTGAGAAACTGAAGCAAACAAAGATTAAGTGACTTGCCCAAGGTTACATAGCTAGTGTCTGAAGCTGAATTTTAGCTTGGATGTACCTGACTGTAAACTTAGTGCTCTATCCATTGTGCCACCTAATAGTAGGGTTGTGTGTGTGTGTGTGTGTGTGTGTGTGTGAGTTTAGATATCTATAAATATTCTTCTAAGGCTGCAGGTGCCAAAGTGTTGCACGAGGACCCCTGAAAGTCCCCAAGATCCTTTCAGAGGGTCCATGAGGTCAGTTATTTTCATAACAAAACTTTACATTATTTGTCTATTAAAATAGTCCTCTTTCCAACTACATATCTGTGTTAACAGCAGATTTTCTTCATATATTTCAACCAAAACAACAGATGGAATGCAGAAGCAGATATGAGAGTACAGCTGTCTTCTATTAAGCTAGACATTAAAGAGATCTGCAGAAATATGTAAAACAGTATCACTCTTCTCACTATAGTTTTTTTTGGGGGGGAAATATAGCTACTTTTCATAAAAATATGTTACTTATTTCAATATGTAATGGGTTTATTATTATTATATAGAATGAATTAATACATAAATATTTTTAAATTTTATCAGCTTTAATTTCTAATATGGTAAATATTGATACATGTGACCTACATAAACAAAAGCTCTTTGGGGTGCTCAATAATTGTTAAGAGTGTAAAACGATTCTGAGAACAAAAAGTTTGAGAACTACTACTCTCAGGTATAGTTAAGTGTTTCTACTGAACAGTAGGAACCACTTACACTCCTAGAGGCTCAAAGTAACAAGTATTTTGAAACTCCTACAGACCCACAATTATCTAACATGGGTACTTCCTCCTTTTTGCAAATGGGAACCCATTCAGTCCATCTCATTCTATGAGATTCTTGTACATAATCTTTACTAAGTCCTCCAGAGACTACCACCTAGTGCCCAGGAACTTTCTTGAGGCCTTTTAAAATTTCACTGGTACACATCAACACACAAAAACTAAGCTTCCTATCTGTTAAGCACGGCTTTTTTCTATGTGGCTGTGCCTCTTCCTTTCCTATAGTCTGTATCCATGACAATGCCTTTTATGTTACTTCTTGCATGACAACAACAATGATGATGGTAATAGCTAGCTAGTTAACCCTACTCCTAATCACCATGGATTATTTTTAAACAAATTTACCTTTTGGTTGCATGACTGGCTTCCTATAGCATTGCAACAACAACAGTAATAATGGTGATGCTGATGATGATGATGATAGTGGTGGTGGTGGTGGCAAAGGTGGTGATAGCTAGCATTTATATAGCACCCTAAAGTTTACAAAGCACTTTACAGATATTATATCATTTGATCCGAACAACAGCACTGGGAGGCAGGTCCTATCATAAACCCTCATTTTACAGATGAAGAAACATAACTATTGTGAGTAATATGGTATGTCCTTCTTATGCCCACTATGTATCTTTCTAGAGTTTGAGTGTTCAGGTAATCCCCAGACATATATCTTGTGGCCTTATAAGAATGGATGAATTTATATTTGAACACATGACATTGTATGAAAATGGTTTTCCATGCATAAAAAGTCATTACTAACAATTTTGCTCATCAGTTACTTTTGCTTTAATTTCACTATCACTTTGGAAGTGATTCATATGGCTCATGCATCATAAATTCAGAGCTGGAAGATAATTCAGAAATCCTTCTTATAGATGGGGAAGTAGAGGTCTAGAGATAGGGGTTATGGAAAGAGAGAGAGAGAGACAGACAGACAGACAGAGATTAGATGATTTGCCCAAGGTCACACAAATAGTAAATGATAGAGCTGAGCTTGAACTCAAATCCTCTGACTTCAAATCCACATGTTCTTTTCACTGCACCATTCTTTGTTAATGTAGAAAGTCCATTTTATAGCCAGTAGGAAAGGTATAACTAAACTAAAGAGGACAGCGAATTTACCACCCATCAAATTTTTCTTCCCCACAAACTCCTTATTCAGCTTGCACAGTCATTCTTCTTGATGGTTATCTTCAGCTAATAAAATCCTCCTTTTGTATTTTCCCCCCTCCTAGTTGGAGATGCGCTTTCAGAACTGGCAGCTCGCCAGAACCTTGGTGAATTTAAACTTGGAAATGCAGCGACTGAAGATTGAAAATGAACTGTCCACAGCTTCTGAATGTTCAACCCTGGGAAAGATCTTGTGAGCTCAGAATAATAAAGTATGCATCAGGAGACATAAAGCCCAAAGACAAAATATATTTTCCACAAATAATTCTGACACAAATATCATGAGCAAGATGCACAAGCTTCCAAGCTAAATTCTGTAGAAGAATACAATGAGGTGTGATGGGAAAATGAAAGGAAAAAGAAAATCAATAGTCAATGTGGAGAAAATTCTGCCTGTGTACATTTTGAAAGGTTCCATGGGAAATAGAGAAGAGAAGAGTGTGGTCCATGTATGGGGCTGCTTTGACTTCTTTCCCCATATGTCCCCTACTGGTTTCATTCATCTTTTGCTAATTTAGCTGTCTACAGTCATCTCAGATTTCAGAAGTGGTATCCCCTGTAGTTGGTTACTCATCACTTCATATTTTGGCAGTCAATTTTCCTGTTGTTGAATGAAAACATTTAAAATAATCTTTAAAACACTGCATCCTTTTTCTATCATTGTACAACTTTTCCTTTCCATTAAAAAAAGATGAAATAGTTTTAAAAGTTGAGAAATCAAAAGAAGTCTATAAACCTAAGCACCCCTTTCTATTAAACACACACACACATTAATAAACAAAAGCCACACTTAGAATACATGTAACTTTAACACTAACTGATGATAAAAATAGTGTCTTAAGGTCATGGAAAACAGATCTGGCTCACTTGTCTGTCTTTTCCTTCCTTCTTTCCCTCCTTCTTTCTTTCCTTCTTTCCTTCCTTCTTTCCTTCCTTCCCTCTTTCCTTCCTTCTTTCCTTTCTTTCCTTTCTTCCTTCCTTACTCCTTCCCTCTCTCCCTTCCTTCATCCCTCCCTCCCTCCCTTGCTTCCTTCTTTCCTTCCTTCTTTCCCTTCTCTTTTCCCTTCTTCCTTCCTTTCCTTCTCCTTTCCCTTCTTCCTTCCTTTCCTTCTCTTTTCCCTTCTTCCTTTTTTCCTTCCTTCTTTTCCCTTTTTCTCTCCTTTCCTCCCCCCTCCTCTCCTTTTCTTCCTCTCTCTTACCTTCTTGCCTGCCTGCTTCTCTCCCTCCCTTCCTTTCTGCAACTCTAATTATTATGCCTGGATAAAGATTTAGGAGTCACTACAACTAGTTTAAATTAGTAATTGTGTCCTCAATTATGATAGTGATGATACTCAAATCTCAGGGTTTTAGATATGGAAGGGACCTCAGAACCCATCTCGACCAAACCATATCCTCCAAAGAACCCTCCATAACAAATCTGACCAATGGTCATCTAACCTCTGCTTGAAGAACTCCAATGAGGGAAAACCCATTCCCTCCAGAGGCAGCCTATTTAACTTTTGGACAGTTCTAGTTGTTAGTCATTTTTTTTCATGATAGTTTAAAGTGGATTCTTTGCACCTTCTATCCATTTCTCCTGGTTCTGTCCACTGGGGCCAAAAAGAAGAACAAGAGGATGTGGATTTGAATTCAAGCTCTGCAACTACCTGGGTGACCTTGGGCAGGTCATTTAATCTTCTGGGACTTCACTTTTCTTATATTCACTGTAAAATGAGGAGTTAGACTAGGAGGCTTCTAAGACCTCAATTCAGCTCTCAATCAATGATTTTTATAATTCTAAATCCAATCCATCTTCCACAAGACAGCCCCTAGGGTCTTCTCCAGGATAGCTAGAAGGAACTATAATCTTTACTTAATAATAATAGCTCAAATACATATAATGTTTTCAGTTTACAAAGCACTTTCCTCATCACAGCCCAGTTAGGTGATATAATTGTCACCATTTTACAGATGAGAAAACAGTTTTAGAGATATTAAGTGACTTGTCCATCATTAGAAGTTGGTAAAACTAACAGCTAATTGAATTTGAACTCAGGTCCTCCTGACACCAGGGCTGGTGCTCCACCTAGCCTGTCCCCTACTTTAATGTTAAAAGTAGTGTTATTTCTCAATAAATGTAGTATTTTTCAGTTTTGAAAAATGTGCTATATATACAAAATCTTATTTAAGCCTCACAAAAACCTATTGTGAGCAAGGTATTGTATTATCCCTATTGTTCAGATGAGGAACAAGCTTTGAGGAGTTACATAGTTTGCCCTCGCTCACACAACCAGTGTGGCAAGATTTACGTCCAGGTCCAAGTTCAGGACTCTATCCACTGTATCGCAGAGCTAGCACTTTTTTTCACCTGTAAAATGGATGTATTACTATGTGCTATTTGCCCGTGGCAATTGGTTTCTAAGAATACGAACCTGGCCTAGTCTGCCAATTACTTTATGGCCTTTGGCTTGAGGAAATTAATTGTCTTTCTTTAGATAAACTGAGATCTTTCTTAAGATGAATCCTAATTCAAAGAATAGACTATAAACTTCTGTCCCCAGTTTCTAGCACCTCTTCCCTATGAAAACAATTGATGTATTTTCCAATAAATAATTCTCAAGTAAAATGTGTAGCTTCTTTCCCAATAGTTGGATGCTTTGCTACCAACATGTATAGATCTTTATGATTAGAATACATGAGAAGTGATCAGTTTTGTGGATGTATAAGTGATTAATGTTAAGTAATTCAGGTATACAGTTTGATTTTGTTGATGCTATGTTGTGTTTTGGGATTCAAGCACTCTGGTATGGAAAAAGTTATTAAAATAGTTTCATTGATGCCTTTTAAAATATTACAGTTATTTCTGTGTATACCCTTCTCCCTTCCCCTTTGTACTGTCCCATATAACAAAGAATAACAGTGAATGAAAAAAAAATCACTATAATGACTGCATTAGATGACAATGTATCCAACATTCTGCCTTTGTGGTTCCTAATCTCTGTACTGATAGGATGAATGTAAGATGGAGCTATGTTACATGATCTGTTCTTCGGGACCATTCTCAATTTATGAATGAGAGGTTGTGAAAGAAGGATGCTTTGGATTGGACTTTTCCATAATTTTGGTAGAGGAAGTTTTTTTTTAAAATTTTCTTCTTTTGTTTGGGGATGGCCTTTCTTAGGGCCTACTGTATGTTGTTGCTGTGGCTTCATTGATGGGGGAACTTGGCCTGTGACATGAACCCAGTAACATGGAAATACAATGGAAGCTTTTTCTTCAGAGTACTACAGTTATTTAAAGTTTTCCAATCTGTATTCCACCATTAAGTGAATTTTGTAGGGAATGATATTCTCTTTATTCCAGTAACAGAAAAATGAGCTTCCTTTTATTTAAAAAATTCTTGTAAATGGTTTTCAGCTATTTAGTGTTATTATATTAGTGATCTTAGGGGAAGAATGTGGAGAAGCAGCCCGGAAATTAAAGGATACACTTTCAACTGGTAACTTTTCCTCCTTAGAGTTGCCTTTTAAATAAGCTAGAGGAACAATGTAACTTCTTAAATAAGTGCTAGATAAAAGGCACCAAGCCATTACCATCAGGGGACTAGGGAGAGTGAGGGAAAAGAAAGTCATTGTAATCAAAATGGTGCCCAGTGGGCAGTTAGTCTTTCAGAAAAGAAGAAAGGAAAGTATTTAAAATGATGGTGGACACACAGAGCAACAAGAGAGGATCAAGTAGTTTAGTGAGAAAAGCAGGGTGTTTAGATTTCTTAGAAGATACATTCTCTTTCAACTCTTTAATTGAAGGTGGGAGGGACAGGAAGAAATCAACTGTAGCAGAGAAATTCCCATCTGTGTGTTTCCTGCTATATAATAGCACTTTTTTGCAACACCTAGTTGAGAGTGGCTGTGAAAGAGATGGCCTTCTAAGGTTCCTTCCAGCTCTAAAAACTGGGGTTGTGGTCAAGAAAAGAATCAGTTTAAATAAACAGAACATACACCTCTACTTTTCTTGGCATAAAGTATCTACATTCTGGTTTTGGATCCATACTTATGATTTCAACGATTCAGGGAAGCAACGTTGCTCATTAGTGTAAAGTAGCAACTGTCCTGCTACTTTCTGTCTTAGAAAGTTGTCTAGGTCACTGAAAGGTTAATTGACTTGCCTGGGTACACACAACCAGTGGGAATCAGAGATGGAACTTGAACCCAGGTTTTTTTTTCTTTTTTTCTTTTTGGCTTCAAGGTCACCTCTCTAAACCCTAAGCCATACTGCCTCTTATGCCTAATAAATAAGTAAACTAACAAATAAATGAATGAATGAATGACATTCAGATATCACTTTAAGGTTTGCAAAGTACTTTCTAGATATTATCTCATTTGAGTTTCACAATAACTCTGTGAGACAGGGAGAGCTTTTAATATCATTATTGCCATTTTATAAATATAATGTGTGGTAAAGGACTCCTGCAAGACTCTGGCCTCATTAGAAGGATTAGGTATGATTCTAGGGCCTAATCCTGGAAGGCCAATTCGTCTCTTTGGCTCATTACACCCTTCTGGAGTGTATAAGAAAATATCTAAATATAGCCAAGGTTTAGCTCATGTCTAGGTTTCTCCAAATGTGAGTAACAGGATCCCAACACTCAAGAAGTAATACATATGGGTAGGACAGTTTTTATTGTAGTTGATTGAAGACACAATTAGTCTATAGCAGCCCATAAACAGATAAACACATAAAACACTCAAAAAACCAATCAATTCCTCTCAGAAGGGCACTGAAATTGGGGTTGCCATTGAAGCAAATCTTTGACATTCTAGGTGATACCTACTTTTTTCACAAGGTTCTACATAGTCCTTCCTAGATCACTGTATAACCTAAGGGTTTAGATTCCCCCTAGAAGGCAAGTATACTTTGGGGCTGCTGAGTTATCTGCTTTCCATCAAACTTGTACTGTCTGAATAACTTGCTGACCAAGAAGGCTGCTGCTCAAGAACTATGGGACCAATTCTTTTCTTTCTTAAAGGGGCACGTTGTATGAAGAAATCGTCTTTCCTTCTAAGGTTTAATATCTGAATTCTTGATTTTGGAAAAATCTCAAACTGGGAAATTCTTGAACTTGAGATTATTCAGGCAACCCCTCAAAGCTGGCCCTGCCTGGGAAATCCTACCCCCCCTTTTTTTCTCCTATATAGATGGCCAGATTCTAGAATCACAC